GATGAAAGTATATTCATAAGCACTATTTCTTGTCCTTAACTGGCATGAAAAATAATGAATTTAAACAAATGATGCATGATATGCAAGTCATATTTTGTTATTATTGTTGAAAAGCTTGAGTTCTGTCTTATATTCAAGCTAGGTTATCTAAAGAGATTTTTTCACCTCAAAAGTTTGATGAAGACATATCTATAACCATTACTCTTTTTCACGGGCTCTTTTAGGCATACAATTATTAAATGTAAATAGAGGCATAATTCATAGAAAATTCAAGTCAAAAGAAGTTTTTATTAATTCTAAAAAATTTAAAGTTTACACATCATGAACTATCCTAGTACTAAGGCCAAAAAGTGCTAAACCCACTATTATTCCCCTTTGCCTTGCCTAAGAAATCCAAAAGTAGTTGACATGATTGCTAAGGAGAACACCTTTGCTTTAAAGTTTCTACTTTTTATTCATCATCCTGGCCAACCTTACTATTGCTTATAGCACTATTTGCTATGTCAACAATGAAAGATTTTTGTAAACAACTGGCTTCATTTTAGCATTAAAACTTAAATATCTGACTTTCATCAATCCCTGTACCTTGTATTTCAAATATGTGCAATCTTTTAGAGAATGGCCCATAATGCCAAGATGGTATTCACATCTAGCATTAAAGTCATACCATTTAGGATAAGGTGATTTGAGTTGTTCATAAAGGACAAGGGCAATGAGGTAGTTTTCTCAAAGCAGTAGGTATAAATTTGTGTAGGACATGGGTATTAGGTCAATAGGGGCTTTTCCTTTGGTGTTGCAAGAATTTTTCTATTCTTTGGTTGGTTTGCTTTGCTAGAAAAATAGTGATATAATTAGTTTTAGAGTGAATTAGGAAACATTGGGTCAAAATTGGGCTAAGAAGGTGGTGATGGGATAACATGTTAAACAAGTGGTTGTGAAATGTGAGGTGGTGGATGTGGATTCAAGTGTGAAATTCTCAGAGGTTGCATGAAATTTAGGGCCTAATCTAGATGCTTGGAAAGGAGGTTGAAAGTAGTCATGTAAAGGACTTAAACGCGGGTTTAGACTCGGGATAGTTGATGATAGTTGTTTGAAGCCAGGTGACTCCATCTTAAAAATCAAACTTTTGAGTTTAGTCATTTGTGTAGGCAATTCAACCATTCTTTTCTTGAGCTTGCCCAAACTTTGGTTACTATTCAAATCACCCAATACCTTAGTGTGCTTGAGAAATGTGCTAGAACTAATAGGAGCCAATTGATTTTAATTTAATGGAATCAAAAGTGACAACGATCCTTGAAGAGTAACAAACTTAACCATACCATTACCTTTAACCATTTCTATCAATTGAGTCATCTGTTGTTTCATCTCCTAAAGCTTAAGCCAAAATTTCTTTTGATTCAACTCTAATGCATTAATTCTTGCTTCCAATTTGTCTCCCATTTTTATCATTTTGATTCCTACCAAAGACAAACATTTTATTCCGATACTTAGACCAATAATTCTATATTGTTACCCTTATTGAATGAATGCCTAAAATAATTTCTAACTTACATGACACACAAAGCATGTTTATGAATATGATGACTAAAAACTGTCATGAAATACATATATGCCTAAGACAATGGATTTTTATATGTACAAGGCCTCAAATAATAAAAATTTCATCATCCATCAATATGTATGCAAGGAATGTAGTGTTCTATTGTAGGGATGATGGGATATGAGATGCAATGCATGTTTATAAAACCTTACCATTCATGAATCCATATCATGAAATGCAATGACATACTTACAAGAGTGATAAGATGTATACCTATGACTAATGCAACATACTTGTATGAAATACATAAATCTACCATGTGCATAAGATGTGTTTATATAAAATGCAATGCATATTTATATTGACCTAATGAGGTTGACACTGCTTTAAAATATGTAATGAGATGGAATGTATGCACTACTTATTAAGATGTACATGGGATGCAGTGCATGAAATAGAATGCATGTATTATCTATTTATACAGATGGGATGGAATGCACATATCATCTTATTATGATGTGTATGGGATGAGGTACATGTATTATCTTATTATGTGTATAAAAATGTGAAAGATGAAACAACATTAAAAAAAAAAATTTTTAAGAAGGAAAAACACATTTTTTTATCACAAAAAATAACTATGACTTGAAAATTAATTTTTATTTAGCCAATAATCAAAGAATTTAAGAAAAACCTTTAATTTTTTGAAATTTTTTTATGCTTGTTGGATAATGCTTAAAAAATTTACATTTTATTATAAAATATTTTATGAAAATGCAAATTTTAGATAATCACCAAATGAATGAACTACATGTCTAAAATTTTTTTTTCAAGAAAATGCTTAACTTTAATTATCTATTTCTTCTTTTTCAAAATCTTATTGCATATTTAGGTTATTTTTACAAAAAGACAATGCTCTATTGAAGGCTGATCTCCTGAGGTTTATTATATGTTGAGTAACGATTGTTCATCTAAATGTTCCTAAATTGTTCCTCATTGGTGTCCATATAGGACTAATAAGGTACCTCGATCCTTACCTATTATAGGTTACGAACGAAAATGGTTCAATTTAAGTGAGAGTATTTCGCTTGCCATTATGGAGGCTATCACTTCACGAGAGTATAGGTACTTTATTTCCTCTTAAGGGACAAAGCTTAGATATAGAGCTTATGCATAAAGTGCAATGTGTTATCATGTGTGCAAGTATCTCCTAATTTATAGAAAAATAAAACAGGAAATGAACAAAAAGAGCAGTAAAAAAATGTAAGCAAAAATTTTCCTTTTTCATTTTCAATATGTTTTTTATTTTTTTGATTGGTTTTTTTTGTTGAAAATAAAATAAAAATCTAGGAAATTAAAATTAAATACCAATGAAGACTTTTAAAAATAAAATTAAGGACAACACGTAGTTAATTTTGGCTTGATTTTAAAAAAAAATGACATCCCTAGTTAAGTCATCAAACTGTCGTAATGGTTTTGAAATTACTCAACGAATTTGAAAATGAATGGAAAAAACAAAAAACGGAGTCACTACCAATCTTTTTTGGCTATGTGTGATTAGCCACCTATTAAAACATATCATTTTAATAAAATTTTAAAATTAATTAAAATTTGTTTAAAGGATAATTTTAAGGTATGCAAAAAAATTTGGGTCTAGAAGTCGGTTACGTGTAGGAAAAGATTAGCACTCTCATAGCACTCGTTTAAAATGGTATCGATTAAATACATGTTATCATTTAATTTTAACAAAAATAATCTTAGTTTTGGTGTTTGAAAATAATTTTCTTAACTTCCTTCATTTATTGAAATTTTAGTTTTCCTTTATTATTATTATTATTATTATTATTATTATTGTTGTTGTTGTTGTTCCATTTTATTCCGAAAAAATAAATTAGAACCTTTTTATTGAAATAATTCTTAAAACATTCCAGTTCATTGGTAATATTAGAATAATTCTTTCTCACCTAGAGATTTCTTAAACATTATTTCTTGAAATACCTTAAAACCTTATCCTCAGAGGCCCAGATTTATTTTTCGTAAAAATATGCAAGCAATGTGAATGGCAATATGTTGATGCACACATTTTATTTTTTTCTTTAGAAATTTTATTCGTCATTTTTATTTTATCATCCTCAGAGGCCTGGATTTATTTTTTGTAAAAATATGCATGCAATACGAATGGCAATATGTTGATGCACACATTTTATTTTTTCTTTAAAAATTTTATTGGTCTTTTTTATTTTATTATTTTTTTATTAAAGAAAAGAGAAATTTTTATCATATTGAACATTTTTTATAAATATTTCAATATATTAATAATATTTTACAAAATTCTTTTCACATAAGGATTTCATGAAGCATCATTATTTGGAATACCTTTAAAATCTCATCATTAGATAAAATTTTTTTTTCTCATTTTTTATTATTTGTAATTTTCATTAATTTTTATTTTACTTAATAATTTTTAGTTAATTTTTATTTTTTACTTTACAGGAAAAAAGAAAATTTTTATTATATTGAAAACTTTTTATAAATACTCTAATACATTGGTAGTATTTTAAAATATCTTCGCACTTTAAGATTTCGTAAAGATTACTACTCGAAGTGCTTTAGAATCTTATCTTCGGATAAAATTTTTTTTTCTATTTTTATTATTTTTCGTGTTGTTTCAAAATTAAAAAATTATTAAAGTTTTGAAATCACTTTCATCTTTATTATTGTTATTATTACTATTATTATTATATTATTTTATAAGTTTTATTTTAAAATTAAATAAAATTGTCACAAATTTTAACTATGTTTTTCGTTATTTATTTTTATTTGTATTTTTATTAATTATTATTATAAAAATAACAAAAATTTATTTCTAACAAATTTAAATATTTTAGCATGCATAAATATTAATAGTAAAACTCAAAAATAACAAAAATAAAATATAAAAATATAACTCAAAAAATTTTAAAAAATATATTTTTGCCTGAACCAGATCGATCAACGGTCTGTTCAACGTCGATTTGGTTTGATCGGCCAAGGTAGTTTAATAATTCAAAACCAGTTCAATTGGACCAATTAGTAAGGGAAAGAGTCACGGGTCGATCGCAAGGATCCTAAGTCGGATCTAGGTTGGCACATAGATTTTAGGTCCTAAATAACATGGTTTCGAAGCCCTTTTTTTTTTTTTTTATAAAGCCAATCCTTTTTTTAATCATTTCATCATTCTTTCCAAAAAAGAAAATTTCTCAAAGGCTTTCAAAAGTTAATAGTACGAGTCACCCAGAAGCCAAAAAATTGACTATAGACACCTTATTTCGTCCAGGACTATCTTCAAATTTCAACTTAATTCGAATTGGGCTTTGAATTTCAGTTTTGGGCTCACTTTGGACTTTAGACCCATAATATTTGTAATTGTCTGCCTTACTTCAAGATATAAATAATTATATTTGAATTTGAATCAGAATTGGAGGATAAGCTGGTTGAGTTTAAAATTGAAATTAAAAGAGATAAACGGAAAATATTATTCAACCAGATAATAGTTTGATCTTGCATTTTATAGGGACTGAGTCCCTATTAAACAATAACCATTACACTGCATGGGGGGCAATAACAAAAAGGAAGAAAATCGAGTAATTCCTAGGAACGTCAATAAGATCCTAGAAAACCTATTGCCAGCAGAATACTCCTTCCATAGTTGTCCAGCCCTAGTCTACCATCAACCCACAATCGAACCCCAAAGCCACACACCGATAGCCACAAGAAACACAAAGGAAAATCGAGCAAAGCTTCATCACCATTCTTAACACACTGTCACATCCACATTGCCATCTCCACCTTCACCATGTTGCCATTGCTAGCCAGCCAGAAAACATCCCACTGCATCAACAACTCCTATAAGATACCCTAAACAACACCACGTACAGAAAAGCCTCTTTTGTCTGATTCCATTCAATCCTAATTCTATCAGCAAGAGTCACACAGCCACCAAACACCCAGCCAAAAAGAAAATCCATAACACCCAGCAATTACCCAGAAGACTCTAGGAAACAAAAAATAAAAAGCAAAGCAAAATCATCTCACCCTCCATAAGTCCACCATGTTGGAACCAAGGTGGTGCACGGCACACCCAACCACAAACCCAAATTCAATTACAACAAACAATCAGAAGTGACCATCGTTCTGACTGCAACCCTGTAGCCTAAAAAAGAGAATCTCGCTCCATCGTCCTGCAAAACAAAAAAGAAAAGAGAAAAAAGAGAACATGTCTACAAACAAAGGATACGGATAAGCCAGTCATCAACCCATGAGTTGACAGTGGAAATGCCAACACTCACCGACGACCAATCTTGTCACTACCCTCATCCTAAACCCCTCATTGAACAGCCATTTCCTGTAAAACAAAGGGGGTCAAAAACATAAGCCAACATAAAGAAATCAAAGTTGATCGAAAACGAATACAAGCGGGGACAAAAATGAGATTTTTCTGGTTTCAATTTAAACCCTCATCTAGGGATTTAGGGTTTTAAAATATAGTGAAAATATTACCAATACAAGGTGAAGAACATATCTGGGGATGGCAGCAATAGGAGCAGCAGAATAGAAGATTTTAAGGTTCTTCACAATTTTCAAGACCTAAGCTATAAAGTTAAAGGCACTTTCACGAAAGATTGACCGCATTAAGACAAGAAGACATCAAGAAGAAGCCACTGGCATAATTTGGGCCTCAGCAACGGTGGGCTGGCGGTGGTAGACGGTGACGTGCGATAAGGCTAGAATCAGAACCTAAAAACTAACCAATGTTTTTAATTTTTTGGTCTCTAGGTAAAATCATTTAGGGGAAAAGGAAATTGAGGAGAGATAGAGAGAGGGAACCAGTAAAAGGGAGAATAAAGCTTAAAAGAAGGGTTTTATAGGATTAACGAAACGGTGTCGTTTTAGCTGAAGAAACTGGGTTCCCTTTTGACCCATCTCAAAGATCCGCACATCAGCCATTGGGCGATCTGATCCCATCATGCAACACTACTGTTCCGGTCCAATTTCGAGCCGTTCTAACAGCCAGTCAAGCCACTCAGCTTCTGCGCTATTCCTGAGTGTGGAGTCGAGTTGTTTTTGAGCTCAGCTGCAAGCTTTAGTAATTCTTTTTGCTTTGATACTCATCGTTTTATTTTCTTTTTCTTGAATAATTCTTTTTCTAAAAAAAGTAATAAGGGATAAAAGTAATTTCAATTTTTTTTTTTTATAAAAAAGGGGTTGTTAAAGAACCAATTTTTTAAAAAATAAAAATTTTCAAAAGTAAAAGAAAAATATTTTAAGAAAAAGTTGAAAGTATCAATTTTTTTTTAAAATGAAAATGAAAATTTTAAAAAATATTTTTTAAGGAAAGTTAAAAGTATCAATTTTTCTTGAAAATGAAAATTTCAAAAAATGTTTCTTGAAGAAAAGTTGAAAATATCAATTTTTCTTAAAAAAAAATGTTTAAAAATAATTTTTGAGGAAAAATTGAAAATGTCAACTTTTCGTTACAAATGAAATTTTAAAAATATTTCTTGAGGAAAAATTGAAAGTATCAATTTTTCTTGAATTGAAAATTTCAAAAAATAATTTTTGAGAAAAAATTTAAAATGTCAATTTTCCTTAAAAATGAAAATTTTAAAAATATTTGTTCGAGGAAAAGTTAAAAGTATCAATTTTCCTTGAAAATAAAAAATTCAAGAAATATTTTTTAAAAAAAGTTGAAAGTATCAATTTTCCTTAAATAAAAGCATTAATCCTTAAAAACTTAGGAAGAAAGTTGAAGTATTATTTTTTTTAAAATTTTTTTTAAATGTTAAATAATTCGACGACGGAGCCTCTGCTAGAGAAATAATAGTTTCCTTATATACTCTTGAGGTGAAAAAGTTTTTTTAATTTTCTGCTAAAAGTATTGGAGTTAATTAAGAATAATTTTTAATAGTTAATTACTTTGCAAGATTTTTAAGGCTTCATAGATAACACAAAATATAGTTGGTACCATCATTTGGATGGACGTCGTGAGGGTGCTATAACCTTTCTCACACACAATCGCACTCTCAAACCTAGTTTTGGTTTCGTAGATATTGAATCTACCTTTTAAAGATGCCTAAGTCAAGCTTATGATTTCTCTTTAAAAAGGAACAGATTCAGTCAGGTGGCCAATCACACCTAAACAAAATATTGGTGGTGACTCCTAAATCAATGTCTGACGATAGGTCCAAGGATCTAGACGTTATGGTAGTTTGGTGACTTCACTGGGGATAAGTCGAGAGTCAGGCCAGTAAATAAATTCGTGTTGTCCAAAAGGCCTAATAAAACTATATTCTTTGTAAGGATTTCTTTGTTTTTCATTCATTTTATTTACTTATGTTGCTAACTATGTCATTCATATGCATGTGCATAACATGAGCTCTATACTTGAGCTTCATCCTTTTAGGAGGGAGTAAAGTAACTATGCTTTCATGAGGTTTTAATGCCTCTGCAGTGGCTAGCAAAATACTTCCACTCAAATTAAACCTTTTTCACTTGCAACCTATAATGGGTGATGATTAGGATGCCTTACTAGTCTGTGATGGATAATGATATAAGGAGCAATTTGAGAACCTTTAGATATTAACCTTAAATGACATATAGTGAGCATAAAGGAACCTAACCTATAGTTAGAGCCTTACTTTCCCTTTTCATAGAAAAATCCAATAGCTAAGTTAAATTTTTATAATGATTGATTTTTCTTGGTTGGAAATAACTGTTGTTGAATTTTTCTTTCTTTCATCTATTTTTTTTTCATTTAAAGCAAGATAGCATTAGGTTGTATACATTTTTGGCATTCATTTCACATACATTAGCTTGAAATCATATTAAGATTATTTTTATAGTCTCTCTTTCATGACATGAGCATGTAGGAATGCAAGCATCGTAATTTGTGGTAATCAAAGGTTTAAGGATAGCTCGACCATTGACAAATTCAAGTTAACCTGCGCGTCACCCATATAATATTCGATTGCGAGCAAGGTAAATGGAACATGAACAAAATAGTCATATGGGCAAGATCAAGAAGGCTCAGGAAGAGATAAAAGAGGAGTTGACCAAGATGATGAAAATGTTGAAAAAACTGGATAAGGGTCAAACAATAGAAAAAACCCCTAATCCAAATGAAAAACAAGATATTGTGGATCCTTTATACTTTTATGGGTTTGGTCCAAACTAAGGTTAATCTTCTTAGGAGACACAGGCCCCACACATACCATTTTATGTGGCATATGCTTAAACCTAGCCTAAAGCGCCATATCGCAGTTACACTAACCCCACTTTCGGGGTAAAAATAGTAACCCAATTAAGGTCCCTAATTTTGATGATCCTAAAAAGAAAGAAAAGTTAAAGATGAAGACTTTTAAGGTGATGAAAGACTTGAGCATACAACAAATGAACCTTTTAGAAGATAGAGTGCGAGCTATCAAATGAATGGATTATTTTGGCTCTGTAGATGCAGCTGAACTATGCTTAGTTCCAGATGTAGTCATCCCACCAAAATTTAAAGTCCTTGAATTTGAAAATACGATGGGACAAAATGTCCAGTAACTCATGTTACCATGTATTATCATAAAATGGCTACCTATACTCATGATGAGAAACTACTGATGCATGTATTTCAAGATAGTCTTACAGCTCAAGCTGCAAAGTGGTATGTCCAATTAGATCGAACCCATATCCAGTCCTAAAATAATTTGGTAAAGGCATTCATCACCCAATACCAACATGTTATACACTTAGCTCGAAATATCTATCTCTACAAAGTATAGAAAAGACACCTTCTGAAAGCTTCAAAGAGTATGCACAGAGATGGAGAGATGTGGCTGCTCAAGTTCAACCACCTCTTATTAAAAAAAATGACTATTTTATTTGTGAGTACTTTGAAGCCTCCATATTATAAGAAAATGATTGGGAATGTCATCAAGAATTTTATCGATATGGTGATCTCTGAAGAAATGATAGAGAATGCCATTAAAAATGGCAAGCTTGAAAAAAGAGAGACCTATAGTACAAAGAAGGGTAGGATGTCCAAAAAAAAAAAGTGAAGCTCAAGCTGTGAGTTTTGAAAGACAGCAGTTCAAAAGTTATACCTCATACCCACAGCCAGTATATCCTACCTATTATCCAGCCATTAATCATGTTATACCAATTTCTTATCATCCTATTTCACAACCAGCCTACCAATCAACTTTTCAAGCACCTACATATAGGCCGATTCCTATTGTTACCCCAGCTTTAATGCTTAATAACCAATAGGTGGTTTGAAGAGATCTCAAATTAACTAAGAGAGGGCATACATTGACCCTATCCTCATGACTTACATTGAGTTATTCTCTAAACTAGTTAAAAATAACTTAGTATCTCCTGTTATTCTAGAACCATTAAAGTCACTTTATCCCCAATGGTATGATGCTAATACCACGTGTGATTACCATAACGAGAATGTGGGTCATTCTATAAAAACTTATCTTGCTTTCAAACATAAGGTACAAAGTTTGATCTGAAAAGGTTTGGTAAGCTTCGATGAATCAAAAAAATCAGATGGCAGCAAGAACTTTTTCACTTGATAACACAGGGCCATAGTCTTGAAGAAGGACAATGATATTGATACTGGCTGAAAGTTGCATGGATTTTTTTTAGAGTAATGGCAAGATTTCTTTTATGTAATAAGATTTCATTCTTTATCATTTTAATAAAAGACAGGTTGATGCATTTCATTACATTTTCTCTTCCATCCAAATCATTATTTTTGTTACCTTTCATATCCATTTTATTCCTATTTTCAAGTTCTAAATGGTGAATGTTTGGACAATTATAAACAATAGTTCTAGGATGTAATTTTGAAAACTCATTCATATTGATCTATAGAGATTATTTGGGCAAAAAAATTTCTATGGGCAGATACTATTCATGAAAATAAACATGTCTTGGAGGCATCTAATCAGTTTATCTTTGTTCAAAATATGGTCTTCAAAGAAGGCATTCACATTCGAGATGAAAAATGATCATCTTTCTTTTACCATTTGAAAAACCATTCATTGCTACCTTTTTTGGGCCTATTATGAATTTTTTTTTTAAATCTTTGACCAAGGATCACCCTCCACATTGGGGGGTAATTTTAAAAAAAAAGGTAAAAAAGGTTTCAAATAAAAAGAAAAAAGAAAGAAAAACAAAAAAAAAAATAAATGTCACACATGATTTGCGATAAAATAATAAGTCATTTTGTGAGGGATCAGATGAAAAAAGAAAAAAAGCAATGACATGATGTGAAATGGGGTAAAATGCCAAATTGAATCGCATTATGGAAAATGATCATTTGGTTTTGAACCCTTTAAACACATGCTTTGAGCCTATTTTATCCATTTCTTTTATGACCCATCACCATGGCCTACATTAAAACCTTTAAAACTCCATTTAGATCAAATGTGAATGTTTGAATTGAATGATCATATGTTAGACAAAAGCATGCTCATGATAGAATGATAGAATGATAGAATCATGCTTCATTACTCTAGAGATTGATGAGATATCAATAATAGGTGAAAGAAAAAAAAAGAAAAAATAAAAAATAGAGAAGAAAAGAAGACTCAAATTGAAAACTCGAAATGGGAATTTGGGTAGAAAGACATCTGAGCTAAAAACTAGAATAAGAGCTCAATATATGAAATATCAATGTCATCTGAAGATCTTCTGAAACTGGGGCAAAATGTGAAAGCTCAAAATGATTTTTAAAGTCAATGGAATGAGTTTTTGAAAAAGAATCTAGGATTAATGTTAGAAATTATCTGAATATTCATTATTTGGATATTGTTATACAATTCAAACACTTACCCTAGTGACATGCT